TCCTTTAATTTTTGTTTGCAGTTTGATATATTTTAATAAATCTGGCTGCTGTTTATCCTACACACTGCCTCTGGATCTCCCTGGGCTGTAGAACAGAGGTCATTCTAATCATTCTGATCTAATCATGCTTTCCTTTTTCTAAGTATGTCCTTTTCTTGATTTCAGTATTAGATCATTGTTAGCTTCCTGTATCAGATCAACAATTTTTTATACACACACACACACACACACACACACACACACTTTTAAGTAATTCAATTGTTTTTTTTCCCTTTATAATGTAATTGTCCAGGTGGCATGCTAAATCACCTATAGAATAAGTAATTTCAAAAATGTTTTTGTGTTTTCTTTTAGAGAATCACCAATCACTCTGTTTGGGAAGAAATGACTTCTATTAATGGCATCCGTATGAAATCACCTTCTCTTACAATGGGATCTGAATTAGCAAATAGTGTGTTCCTTTGGGCTTTATCACTGTGTTTTGCTCCATTTATGTATTTCTTGGCACTAACAGTTTCAAGAGAGAAAAGGAAATTAAAGGAGGTGATGAAGACAATGGGACTACGAGATGCAGCATTCTGGTGAGCTATGAAATTGGCTGTAGTCTCTTTTTCTCAGATGGATCCAGCAGGTTTTTATGAGAAAAAAAGAGGATGAATCCATGCCAGCCGGAAAACTCAACAGAGAATTTAACGAAGCTCTGATCCTGGAGCTGGTGCAGGAAATAGTAGCTCCATGTTAGGTTCTGTTTCCTTTGGACCTCTACACACTCATGTGACTGATGGCGTCACCACTCAGGTCCTTGTTTCTTCTTTATATAAATGGCTGTTTTGGCCAGCCATTATGCAACTTAGTTAAATACAGTATAACTAAATATTCACATTTGCAATTTTACAAAATACTTTGGTAAATTACCCAACTTTGAAAGGCACCACAATCACACATACAACATACTGTGTTTGTTTTTATCCTAAACAGTATTATTTATTTACTGAAATAGCTGTATTCTACCCATTTTAAACCTCAAGGTTGCTTACTTTTCCACAAAAGAAAAAGTTTCAACTCTTTAAACATAAAGCCATTATAAACAATAAAATCTATGTATAAGTCAAATCTACCACTGTTAGCACTCATATATTTAAGGGGAAAAATAGTAGAGCCTTCTTGAAGATCAATAAGTTGAGGGTACCATTACCTCAAGCAAGATATTCCTCAAATGGGGCACCCTCAGGGAAAGATCATTGTTAGGACCTTTACCTTACATAGGGTAAGGATCTCCAAGATTGGTCAGAAGAGAAGGTATTGCAGGCATTAGAGAGGGTAACTTCAACTTATGAATTTATTATGAATTGGATCCTCATAGTTGTGGCTCATTGGATATAATGAAGTTTACAGTTGGCTCACCTCCTCTTCTGGGTGAGCATTTCTGTTTAAAATTCTCTCTTTTGACTCCCCTATTATTTTCTGTATTTTATGCAACTAACTCTACCCAAGAGTTTGCTAACATTCCCTGCTGCTTCTAATTCTGCTTCTACCTCTTTTAATTGCTCAAAGATAGCTCTGCATCCACTAAGTAGACTCTCAAGTGGAACAGATGCTTTTTAAAATATCCTCTTGAGCATTTCTCTATACTGTTGCACATTTCTTTATGTGCTTCTAAAAACTCAATGCTACCATGGGCAGATGCACCTTAATGCATTTTTTCCATGGATCACTACCCTCCAGTTTAAATATCCAATATCCCCAACTTGGAGCAAATGTCTTTGGGGTGTATTTAAAAACCTCTGCAGGTATTTTTTAGGGATGGGGTTGGAAGAGGCATAATGTCACTAGGGTCTACTCCAAAACTGGATCCTCTGTTCATTTTAGAAAACTGCTTCTAGCCAGCTAGGATTTATCATTTATCACTTGGACCAATTTTGACAAGACCAGAAGTCAAACTCAATAGCATTTTAGATTGATTTTACTACACAGCTCTGCTTTCTTAAATGAAAATTAGCTATGGAGAAAAATGGAAAGGGTATAAAAATAAAAAGACATTTGAGCTAAAAGGACTTCAACATAGAAGTCATTCCATGGAGATCAGGAGCCTTACAGCAACTTCCTTAATCAGCCCAAGATGTCATTCCTCTGTCTAAGCAAAAAAGATGCCAAAAAATTGATAGCCGCGGAACTGTTTTCTAGCTTCCTTTAGTTGACAAAAGAAGTTTTCAACAAGATCCAGTAAGACCTCGCTTTGAATAGCAAAAGAAACAGACGCACAAAGCATATTCTATATGAGATAACAGCTAAGTTTGTTTGGAAACATAACATACCATCAGAGATTGCAAGGCTCCCTGGCTCTCTGTGGATTGTGGCTCCAGTGAAAAGGAAAAGAAGACGAAGAGAAAGGGGCAAGAAAAGAGGCTGCAGGGCTGGTGTTTTGTACAGGCTGCAAAAACAAACGAAGCGGCTACCGCTCCCAAGCCTCTTTCTGACTAATGCTAGATCCGTGGTAAATAAGATGGATGATTTAAGGCTACAGGTCTCTTCAAGTAAGTTTGTGAAAAGCTGTTGTGTGTTGCTAATCACCGAAACCTGGTTGGACCCCACTATTCCAGACATTGTTATTGAGATGGACGGTTTTTTATTACATCGTCTGGACAGAGACAGAAATGTGGGGAAGTGTAGAGGAGGTGGAGTGTGTATGTTTGTTAAAGAGACTTGGTGTAAAAACTCAGAGGTTATAACACATCACTGCTCTTTGGAGCTGGCATATCTGTCTGTTAGATGCAGACCCTTCTACCTTCCTCGGGAATTCAGCATTGTTATTATTCTTGCTGTTTACATTCCGCCAGACGCAAATGCAGATTTGGTTCTGGACTACCTGGGTGATGAAATTGGCAACTTGCAAAGCAAATTTCCAGATGCTGTATTCATTATTGCAGGAGATTTTAATCATGTAGATCTTCGTGTGGTCCTCCCTAAATTCTATCAACATATAAGGTGTGCAACTAGGGGATCGAACACCTTGGATAAGGTCTACACGAATATTGTAAATGGATACAGGGTATTACAACTACCACATCTGGGCCAGTCAGATCACTTGTCCCTGCTTTTAGCCCCGGAGTATATTCCTCTGAGAAAACAGGCGGGGTCGGTAGTCAAGACGGTGAAAAGCTGGCCAGAGGGAGCAATGGAGCAGCTAAAGGACTGCTTCGAACGCACAAACTGGGAAGTTTTTGATCATCCTGATCTCAACGAACACACGGCTGCAGTGCTAGGGTATATGGCACACTGTATTGATACTGTCACGGTGGATAAACGAATCCGGGTGTATCCTAATGAAAAACCTTGGATGACCGGGAAGGTTAGACGCTTGTTGTACGCAAGAAATAAGGCTTTTAAGTCTGGGAATGATCTAGATTATAGTGCTGCAAGAACAAACTTGAAGAGAGGTATTAAGCAAGCTAAGGCCGAATATAAGAGGAGAATTGAAGACTGCTTTCTCAGTAATAACATGAGGCAGGTTTGGCAGGGGGTTCAACAACTAACGAACTATAAAGCAAAAAAGGTCTCTTTGGATGGTAGTGCGGTGGTGGTTGAGGAGTTGAACAATTTTTTTGCTCGATTTGAGATCCATCAAACTGAAACTGTCCCTTTGCCATCATTTACTCAGCAGAGCCTCCCCTTCATTGTGAATGAGCAGGATGTGAGGCAGACAATGAAGGCGGTTAATTCCAGAAAGTCAGCTGGGCCCGACTCAATTCCTGGTCGTGTGGTAAAAGATTGTGCTGATCAGCTAGCTGGGGTGTGGACTGAAATTTTTAATCGATCCTTGACACAAAGTGTGGTTCCTGTGTGTCTCAAGGCTTCCACCATCGTTCCACTGCCTAAAAAGTTGCCCACAAATGGTCCTAGCGACTATAGGCCGGTGGCACTAACTTCTATCTTAATGAAGTGTTTTGAGAAGCTAGTTCGAAATTATATTATCTCCTGCCTTCCTGATTCCTTTGATGGGCTTCAGTTTGCTTACAAAGAAAATAGATCAACCGAGGATGCAATTATTACTGTGCTTCACATGGCCTTATCCCATTTGGAAACACTGGGGAATTATGTAAGAATGTTGTTCGCAGATTTTAGTTCTGCTTTCAATACCATCATACCGCACAGATTAATAGCCAAGCTCAAAGATCTAGATTTTCCAGATTCTATTTGTTTATGGATATTGGATTTTTTAACAAATCATCCACAAAGAGTTAAACTGAATGATTATATTTCTACTGTCAAGACACTTAGCATTGGCACTCCGCAAGGTTGTGTCCTTAGTCCACTACTGTTCTCCATTTATTCATCTGATTGCACAAATAAACATCCCAACAATAAGATAATAAAATTTGCAGACGATACTACGCTTGTAGGACTTATTTCTGGGGATGATGAGTCTGCATATCGGGATGAGGTATTACAGCTATCCCACTGGTGCAAAAATAATAATCTTCTATTTAACATTAAGAAGACCAAGGAGGTTATAGTGGACTATAGGAAAAAAAGAGCAGACATTCAGCCACTGTATATAGAGGGAGTTCGTGTGGAACAGGTGGTTGAATGTAAGTATCTCGGGACCATCATTAGAAATGACCTGACCTGGAGTGCAAACACCACTGCTTTAATTAAGAAGGCACAACAACGGTTGTATTTACTAAGGATTCTTAGGAAACAACAACTGGCTGAGAGTCTACTGACTACCTTCTATCGGAGTTCAATTGAGAGTATATTATCCTACTGTCTCTGTGTATGGTTCTCGAGCTGCACAGTGGCAGAGAAAAAGGCAATTCAGAGGGTGATTAAGATGGCCCAAAACATCATTGGCTGCTCACTCCCCTCTTTGGAAGAACGGTATAGGAATAGATGTAAGAGGAAGATATTTAATATATTGAATGACTCCTCTCATCCGGGACATCAGCTCTTTGAACTATTACCATCGAGGAGGAGATTCAGGGTATTAAGAACAAGGACGACTAGATTTAAGAACAGTTTTTATCCAAGTGCAGTTTTGAGTTTGAATGCAGGGTCATAAGATTTTGTGGAATTTAATGGCTGAGAGTAATGGGGTATTTACATTTTTAAATTGTATAGAGATTATTGTATGGTCTGTTGTGTTTAATTTTATTTTTCTTTCAATGGTGTTGTCCAGTTTTACTTGTGGAAGAGCACCTCATTACGTTGTACCCGCTTGCGAGTGTAATGACAAATAAATTCTTATGTCTTATGTCTTATATTCTTATGTTGATATTCTTTGATTACATCTACCATTGTTTCACCAAAGACTCAGCAATCTGGGAAGAGTTGAGGGAGACGTCTGCTTTATCTTTATTTTAAAGAGTCATCCTTGGCTCCTTGGTGTTGGACAGCCAACACATTTAAAGAAAATAATAATAATTTATTTTTTCTGTCATTCCTCGAATAGGTGTAGACAAGGGGTCATGAGAAGGGTATCAAAGGCCTTCACTCTTCTTCATACTGGGCTCCTGTTCTTAACAAGACATGATTGCCAAATGACATTTAATGATAAGAGCCTCGGATTCACTGAACAAGAGAAGCCTTTCCTGCAATCCATGTTTTTCTCCTGGTTTGGACCATAATATTGAGCTAAACTGAAGAAATTATTTAGGGAATGACAAGAAGGTTAACAATGTCTTTTTCTTCATAGGCTCTCCTGGGGTTTGCTGTACACCATATACATCTCAATTCCAAGCATGGTGCTGACATTTTGTCTGAAAGCTACATATTTTTACCTAACCAGCAATTCTATCTTATTTGTCCTGCTTTTCCTTTATGGCATTTCATCTGTAAGTCTTCAGTTTTCCTTTTCTCAGTTAAAGTGATATGTTTGATGCAATAAATATTTCTGTTCTGCTGGAGGACAGTTTCTGGACCAGGTTGAGAAGAAACTTTTTAAATATTAAATTAAAACACTTATTTCTCAAGTGTTCTCTCTTTTTAATAAAGTACCCAAACATGGGACTAGTTTGAGGGATCCTGGAGATATCAGTTCAATGAAAGCACACCTGGACAGATTATTTCCTTTAGCAGAAACTTTTTTTTATTTGGTTAGATGAAAGTTAGGAAAAGGTATACTTATTTTGTATTCATTGACCTCTCTATTTTGTATTCATTGACATTTGATAAGTTGACTGCACCTTTCCAGAGAATATTGAAAATATGTCTGCATCATTCATTTCTTGATAAATTTGAGATTAAATAACTATTAAATGTTTATAATGTTTATTCAGAATTTTCAGCCCATCCCAAATGTTGCAGTCTGCTAACTGGCTTAGGCTGGTTAAAGAGAACCTGTTACTTCCTTAGTTTTGAAAAGGATATCCTGAGTATCACTTGACTGAATATTAGTTTGCTGTTGCCCTTACCATTATAATTACCACAAATGGAATATGTAGGTCTTTGATGCTCTCTGAAGACTGTCTTGCAAGTTTTATTGGAGTAGTTTCTTGAGGAAGATCCCCTCATGGGATAAGAAGATTGGAGTTTTCTCCAGCTTGTGATAGTTGGGGCAAGATTGGGGAAATGGACACCCTCTAAAATAAATATATGTGGGGGAACATTCTTATGCAGTTGTTATCTAGTAGAAGTTTCCAAAGAGAATGAAGTCCGATAGCTCTGGTTCTAGGTTAAAAAGTTCAACTACCAGTATTGAGTGACAGAGCAATGAAGCTGAATAGATGCATTCAAAATTAAAGAGCATGGTGGCATTAGGAGCCTGTGGAAAGAGTAGGAAGCAAAAATAGGTGCCAGGTTCCATTTGTGGACATGTTGTCTGAATGCCCCAGCACTTAGAGCCAGATGGACTGAATTCCCCCTACTGCTGATTTTTTAACTCTCTTTATCTTGAGCATTTACAGTTTGATTGGGCTCTCTCTCCTCTTCTTTAGAGATATAATAACCTTTTGGGAAACATGGCTATGGGAAAGCATTATGCACTGTCTTCCTATTAATTCAGTTCAGTTTGAATCCTGGCCTGCAAGTATCTATTGCAACAATTGACCTTTCTAGTGTAGGGTGCAACAGTTACATATAAGTACAGAATAATAATACACTAATTCTATTGTATCTTGCACATTTGTAGAGACTGTACTAACTGGCAATTTTTTCTTTTGCAGATATGTCTCTGTTTCATGTTGAGCTCTCTCCTAAAGAAACCCAGAACCACTAGCTTTGTTATTTTCATCTTCACTTTTTGTTTGGGAGCCCTCAACATTACTACAACAATCAGGTTGATACCTCCAAGTTTGGAGTTGATTTTGAGCATCTTCTGCCCATTTGCTTTTGGTGCTGGGCTTTCAAAGGTAGAGTAATGCACAGTATTTTACTTAAAATTCCTAATCATGATGCAACTAACAGGAAACACATCTGATACCCACTCTGGTAGCATAGATATTTCTCTTCCAAAGATATTTTGATAGAAACACATAGCAAACTGAACATGGACCCAAAATGTCATTCTATTCTAATCCTTCCTTCATCCTGCTGACACCCATGCTTCCATTCCAAGAGGGTTAGACAATAGTTTAACTTACTAAACAGTTAGTTTCATTTCAATTCTTTGTTCTTTCCTATGAGAATTTGATTTTTTTAAAAAACAACAACAACCCTTTGTTCTTTTCACGCAGGTTCTCTATTTTCAAAAATATGGAAGGACCTTTGATTTTACTGACTTAATGTTGGAACCATATGGTTATTGCTTGCTTATTGACAGCGTCTTATACATGCTGCTGGCTTTCTATTTTGATAAGGTTGTGCCTGGTAAGAATATTACTGTGAATATATTATAGTTTCAAGACCACATTTCTTCAAGTTACTTTTCACTATCTCAGAAGCATCATTTCTGAATTAGGAATAAACTGTAACTGGCCTGAAAAATGGAGGAAAATAACAAAGTTGAGACAGCAAGTATTATATCTTTCTTTAGATTAAGTTGACTGAAATTAATCTGAAGCCCCTAAATACAACAGTCTTGTTCACATATTGTGCAAAACATGTATGAGTTGTAGAGTGTTTTAAAGAAACCAATGCTATGCAAAGAAGAGAAATGGTGTAGAGTAAGCAAATGAAATTAAAGGTAGATAACAAGAGAGAAGGAAAACTTCCCTTTTGTTTTCTAAACCTCAGTCATCTTGTGGAGCTCATCGATTCCATTGGCTTCTCATTTTTGTGTTGCAATTCCATTCCCATTTATTTTCCCTACAACAATTCCAATGCATTGCTTTCATACAAATCAGTACTTCGCATTCAATTCACAAACATTCAGCACCCATTCTTTCTGGGTCTCATTTAGTCTCTTGTTTCACCATTCACAGATCTTAAGTAACACATTTGCACTGTGTTTGTTTCTCCTGACATATCCAGCTCCCACTTATACCTACAGAATTGGTAGAAACCCTCTTTTATACTTAGCAATTTCTGCTTCTCTTGACAAGCATCTTCACAACAGAATTATTCCACCAAATACTTTTCTACCAGCATTTGCACCTCTTAAAATATTTCTATTCATGTTCCTATTTTTAGTAAATTTACTACCAAGATACACAAATGCACAAGTTCTGTGGAAGTTAAATTTGAACTTTTAAGAAGCAGGTTAGGAAGAATACTAATAATTTTGAACTTTGATGTTAAGAGAAGGGACCTGAAAAGTACCATGAACAGGCAACGAAACAAACAAACAAACAGATGAATCAACAAACAAATCAATTCAGAATACTCACTTGAGGCCTAAAGGTCAGGCTCATATTGTCCTACTTTAGACATATTCCACCAAGACCTAAGTTTGTGGAAATGATTCTATTTCTGGAAAAGGTGAAAGAAAAGAAAAAAGAGAACAACCAACAGAAAAGTGGATAGACTCAGTTAAAATAGTGATGATTGTACTATTGACTCACAAGGACTCGCAGACTACAAAATGTAGGTTACCAGCCTTAGTTATACCAGTGCTACATGCAAATTTGTCTGCTAATGATATAGGTAGCAAGATTAGCAAGAATTCTCAAATGAATTATACTGTATATTCCTGCCTGTTGCTTTGGTCCATTTTCCTCTTTTTTTTAGTTTTGATGTAGGTTATGATTTATTAGGTAGGGAGCTGAACCGACTGCATCAATTCAGTTTATTGTCAGGTTCACAGTTAAGAAAATACTACAAAAGAACAATAAAGACCAGCACTGTACTCTACTGTATGTGCAATGTGAACATTAAGAAGTTACAGTTAGTTTGGATTTATGACAACTTGCTGTTTGTAAAATACTTTTTAGACAAATATGGGGTGCCTTATCCTCCACTGTTTTTTCTGAAGAAGACCTATTGGTGTAAACCAAAAAGCCCCTATACCGGGAATGTTCCTACAAGTGAATGGAGTCATGGGAGTATCTTCAGTGATAATACTGAGCCTGTGCCCCCTGAATTCGATGGGAAGGAAGCCATAAGGTAAGACACATTGAATCTGGACATTCAATAGTATGAGCATACTGTAAATTTCTTTTACTTATAGGTTGTCAGAGGACTTTGTGGGAGATTCATTCATAAGGAGAAAATAAGATGCTGTAAGAAATACATTTCTGCTGCAACAGGTAGTCTTTGGCTTATGACCATCTGTTCAGCAACCATTCAAGGTTGTGACAATACTGAATGAGGTGGACTTATGACTGGTCCTTGCAATTGCACCTGTTATACCATCTCTGAAGTTACATGATCACAATTTGTCCACTTGGCC